TTTGGCCAGTCTCCCATTGTGAGATATTTAAACTTTATTTTCTCCTCTATATTTTTTCTTGCCATTACAATAAAGTTCCAATAAAAATCTTTGTGCATAAAGCTTTCCCTTTAAGATTCTTTCCTTAAGATAAATTCTCAAAGCATAAACTTGCTATGTCAAAATATATGAAGATTTTTAAGACGCTTGGTATTTATTGTTCATAATGCTTTACAAAAAGGGGAAATTGCTCCATTTTTATTTTGCAATCCATAAGATAATATTTCTTCCGAAGACTTGTCTTCTCATTTTACCATCACTCAGTTCATATTAAAGAGAATTTGTCTTCTTATTTCCCAGTGTGGGGAGGAGGTCAGGGGAGTCGGACTGGCACCGAAATTTACCGTAGATGATCCGTGGGGAGATACAGAAGGGAAGAGGACAAACACATTCTCCCCTGAGTGTCTGCCATGGGTTAGTTACGGATTCAGTGTGTCCCTAAAGAGTTCATATGTTGGAAGCTTTGTCCCCAAGGGTGGCAGTGTTGAGAGAGGGAGTTGAATGGGGTCATGTCCCCAAAGGGATTGTAGGACCCAAGACTGCCTGTCTTTCTCTCTGTGTGTCTGTCTTTCTCAATCTCTCTCTCTCTCTCTCTCTCTCTCTCTCTCTCCCTCGCTTCCTAATTGGTGATGTGATCCTTCTACATGTACTCCTGTCTTCTATTATAAAAGCCTCACTAGAGTCAAGCTGATACCCATCTAAGGCCCTTGAACCTCCAAATCTATGAGCAAAACAACCTTCTTGTCTTTGTGGTCAGCCTGCCTTGGGTATTTTGTTATAGTAACAAAGACAGACTAATACAATACCTATGACAAATTTACAGAGACTAGATAGACCATTACTACAAGTGATATAGGAAAAGCTCTCCAATGAGCTCCCAGATCCAAGTCCCATCTCAGAAGGAAACAAATTCTCTCTGCAAAGCACACAAGGCAGTGAAGGTGCATAGCTTTAGGGACATAGATCTCATAATCAGACAAAAGTGGCTGAATCTGCCCTCCAGAAAAACACACCTCCCCAAATTTGTATGTTCTAGGATCTTTCACAGGTTCCCTGGACTCTATCCTTCTAGACTAAGCTTTCTATTTTAGAAGGGTCAAAAATGATGTAGAGACTTGCCCAAAGTTACCCAGAGAAGATAAGTGAATTCAAGCCTTAGCTCTCCTGACTCCCAACATTAGGACCCATAAGCCCATGGGAAGAGATTTCCACTCTATGTTGAGTCCTGTATTGGGAGTTATGAGAAATTAGAGTGCTTAGACCAAGCAAATAGAATTCAGACTTATGAAAGGAAACAAAGATCAACCAGTAAGCAAGATATCTGCTGCAGATTCCTGTACGGGAACCCAAAACTCATGCCTTCTGTTATTCAGCCACCCCTTACAAGTATCACCTAAAATCTCAAATCACTGGAGATTATTTACTGGGAGTTTGGATTCTTTGCCATCTTGTGCCTAAAGAGCATGTTGAGGTGCTCAAAGTGATTTTTTTATGTTTTGAGACAAGGTCTCACTATGTAGTTCAAGCTGGCCTTGAACTCACTATGGAGCCCAGGCTGGCCTCAAACTCACAGCAATCCTCCTGCCTCAGCCTCCTGAGTGCTGGGATCATGTGGATGCCACCATGCCCAGCCTTCAAAGAGATTGTTGAGGCTTTGTTCAGGTGGTGGAAATCCTACCCTGAAATGTTTGCATTGAAGTAATGCAAACTTCCCCATGCATGGCCTTTTACATACTTTGCCACAAGTTAAACATTGTGTTCATGAAGGAGACAGCTGTAAGTGGTAGCAGAATCTTCTGCAGCCTTAGCTATTTGACAGAGGAGCAGAAGAACCCTAAGTCCTAGGGTCATTCTCAGAAATGGCTTCCAAAGACATACATTTTCCCCCCTGGTACTGAGGACCTTGTGCTTGCAAGGCAAGCGTGGTGCCACTGACCTACATCTCCAGCCCAAAGACATACATTTTATAAGAAAGGAGGAGAACCAGATTCTGATTTCATCTTCCTAGAAAGAAGCAGGAGGCACTTTTGGCTGATATTTATTTTATTTTATTTTTTTTTGTACCAGGGATCGAACTCGGAACCTTGTGCTTGTGAGGCAGGCAGAGAAATCACTGAGCTAAATCCCCAACCCGTGAGGCAGACTTTTATTCCAGGAGGAGCCTAGTTGTAGAGCCTGGAGGCTTGCTCACCAACCCAGCCTCTCACTGATGGACTCTGAACTCCGTGAGGCTCTCTGCTCATTAAGCCTTGGTTTTCTCATCTGAAAACTGGAAATAGTAATATAATCCTCATAATATTGTTGAGTCAAAATTCATAGCTCCTCTCCCCAGATGTACGGCCTTTTCTTTTCATTCTTTTATAGCACATATTTTATTCTCCCTCATTTTTTGATAACAGCTCCTGGTCTGTCTTTCCTACTAAATGGTAACTTTTACAGGCAAAACCTTAGCCCTCGCTATTTCTGTAGTCCTCAAAGCCTAGGGCAACACTTGGATGCTTATTCAGGGCCAGACGAACTTGGAAGGGGCTCCCCTCTGTGGCCAGGGTTCCATCACTGGAGAAGGCACGGGTGGAGCGGGAGCCAGGTTGCCATGACTAGAGCTGGTTCATAGTCACCAGGCAGCAGAACAACTTCTGGGGCGCAGGCCAGGTGAAGCTGGTGAACAGTGTGCAGAGGAGCAGGGCACATGCGGAAGTGGCTTCCAGGCCCCAGCTGGGACTGCAAGGTCACTGGGCAGTGCTGCCCCCTAGGCTCACAGCTGGGACACAGCTCCACTGAATATCCCCACCCACGGACTCCACAGCCTGGAGACCCGAACCTGGAAGAGGCGTCCTCCTGATCCTGCAGTGTCCCTCCAGCACCCTCTACTGACAAGGCTTACTGCGGCGCAGGCTGTACAGGAGAAAGGCTTACAGGCTGCAGTCTTTTGAATAGGGCAGAGGCTGAAGGGGGGCGGGGGGCTGAGAGGCAATAGTAGGAAAACTGGTACAGTGGGTGATCAAAACGGTTGTGGCATACACCTGTAATCCCAGCTACTTGAGAGGCTGAGGCAGGAAGATTGCGAGTTCAAGACCAACCTGGGCAGTTTAATGAGACTGTCTCAAAATTTAAAATAATAAAAAGGACTGGGTGTGTAGGTCAGTGACAGAGTGCTTGCTAAGCATACACGAGGCTCTGAGTTTAATCTTCAGTACTGGGGGAGGTTCAAATTAATTAGATAAAGCCACGAGACCTGTCAATAGCTCCCTTAACATCTGCTTACTTCCCTTTCTTTGAATCCCATAGATTTTACCAATAAATGTCAAACCTCCTTAGCTTCTTCTGTAATTTACTCTCCAGAAGCTCATTCCCCTCCAGGTGTTCTGTCTTGTCTCCTTAATGAGGCGTGTGCCTTTCTTCTCGAGGCTCACACTTGGAGAGAGAGAGACCGAGACTGACTGACTCACACACTCTGAGGCCTAGTATTTCACCTCACAACTCATTTCTGCACTCGCACTTGAACTTGTTTGTCTATTTCATTTCCAAGCAATCCACCTGTCCCTCCCAAACACTTTAGGAGTGTCCCAACATTTGACTTCAAGTGGCAGTGGGAGGAATTGAGGCTGATTTAAGAACCAGTCCTCCTCTGCCTTTGAGGGAAATGGACTGGCCACCTCAGGTCAGACTGTGAAGTCTATGTCTTTGGGGAAAGCTGAAGAGATTTGTCCATGGAGCGTCCAGATATTTTAGAAGGAAACAGGCAATAAAGCAAACCGTAGAGTCGGGGGATAATTACCTGCATAAATACACTCAGAAACCATTTGGATAGGACTAATATTTTCCATCTGCAAAGCAAACTGAGAAGAGTGTGGCAGGTAAAGAGCCCTTCAGGTGCTGTCTTGCAGGAGAGCGTGTTATTAATAGGCACCAAATTTGAGTCAAGTCAGTGTTCTTAGGCGTCAACCATCCTGCTCTTCCAAAATATTCCATTCTCATCTGAGGAGTCTGATGTAATTAGTGTTAACTTACGACTCTCTGCGGGAGCTAACTCAGCAGTGAGGGAGGTTTGCAGCTAAGATTCCTCCAAGGATGCAGTGGTTTCCAAACTTCATTGGTTTTACTGTCCTTGCAAAGGATGCTCACCCCTTTTGACCAGAACATGGCAATGGCAAAAACAAGGGGGACTTAAGCTTTCCACTAAAATTTATATTTCTATATTGTGACTATCTTCTTTTTTTGTTTTTGTTTTTTTGGGGGGTGACAATTAATGGACATTCTCATCCAGTGAAACTTAGAGTAGGCTGGCATGAGGCCATCTTGGTGTCTTACCAAGCTACACCTGTTATCCCTTCATGTACCAAGGAAATCACACTCTTAAATGATCAAGGAAAATACATACGTTTCTTCCTGGGCAGTAGAATTGTGGGTGTTTTTTTTTCTTTTTGCTCATCTACATTTCTTTCAATAAGTATATGCTCATTATTTATAAAGATGTGTATATATACATAAAGCTTTGTGTATATATACATTTCAATAAACCCAATTATTCTTCTCTAAATCTTGAGCTATATCACTGCTTTTTTGTCTCAAATCTAACCAGACCCTTCCCACCCTCTTTACTCCCCCTGTTTAGATTAGCTGCCAAAAATCAGCAGATTTCAGTTTTAGAAGAGGTTTTTGGAAGAGATTTATTTCCTCCCTTGGGAACTTCTAAAAACAGCCCCTTTTTCTTCTGCTCTCACCAAGCCGTGATGGATGCTACACCTGCTTGTGATGTGACAAAACCTACGTGATGAATAAAAGCCTTTCACAGTCCCTGCATATCCACAGCGGTTGAAAGCACCAGCCAGGGCCCCGAGACATGTGAAGAAGCACTATGGGAGGTGATTCTGCCTCAGGCACCGCTATACCCACCCCTGGGCACCTTGGAGATTTCATCTGGCATCTCTAACCTTTGATGTGTTGCTCTCTCCTTTCAGATTTTTGACAGTGAAGCCAAAGATTTAGAGAGAGAAGTTTGCTTTATTGATATCGCCTGTGATGAAATTCCAGAACGCTACTACAAAGAATCTGAGGTAAGCAGTAGATGGGTGACATGTTGGAGTCACTCATTCGTTCATTCATTCATTCATTCAACAGATACTTATTAAGTGCCTCCTATCCTGGGATCCTTCTGTCATTGTGCTGATTGAACTTAGTCTCACATCTCGCTAGTCTCTTTAATATGGGTCTCAAAATGAACTCCCTGCTCCTCCGATCCCATCTCTGGCCCTGCCTGCCAGTTACTGTCCATTTAATCACCCTGTCTGCCTAACTCTGCCCTCATTCTGTACAACATCACTATTCACCGAGCTGAGCCACCCAGCATACTGGCTTCTCTGAAAAACAGCAGCCCAGCACCATGTTCTGTGAGGGCAGGAGCTGCATTTTATTTGTATCTTTGGGATATAACATAAAGAAAGTCTGCAGAGGCTGGGGATTGCTCAGTGGCAGAGTGCTTGCCTTGCATGGGCAAGGCCCTGGTTTGATCTCCAGCATTACAAAAAAAAAAAAAAAATCAATCCGCCAAACTTTGATGGCTCATGTTGGGTGAGAACTTTTCCCAAAATAGCAAGTGCCTTCATGAGGGCTTCTTTTTACTTCCTGGCTGAGAATTTACAGTATTTCAAAGAATATCTTTCCCTCTGGTTTCCACCCTACCAGAAGCTGCCCTTTGCCTTGGCTCTCTTTTTATTTTACTGGTAGTGCAAAGTCACCCTCTCTATCCAGTTAGTATTTTATTAGTGGCTGCTCGTGGAACTTGAGTGACCTACTTGTAAGTAACGTACCAGCCCTGCAATGACAACAGATGCAGGGCTATTTTTGTTGTTTAGCAACATGCAGCCAATCACAATATGCTTGGAACCAGTGCCCCACACTCGTCCTTGAGCTGTAACACATGGACCTTGGAACTCTTCTCAGATTCTTTAAGGCTGATTGAAGATGTAATAATTAAACCTGTTAAAGTGAATTCCACTGGCTCGCACACAAACTGGGCTCCACCTCGGTTCTGATTTTTTTTTCCCCTCCACATTTTGAGATCTGTTTGAATATACAAAAGTCTTACCTAGTTTAAGTAGATGTGCAGCTGCTTAATTACAGGCTCTGGCTCTTCCGTAGCTGTCCCTTAATGGGCCAGGGAGAGGCCGATGAGCATCACTCTGTGTCACACACAGACCCAAAGGCCGAGCATGTTGATGTCATCACCTGATACTACACTCTGCAGCCAACCACACTTGTGCATTTTAAGAAAAGCAAAGTTGGGCCGGGATTTAGTGCAGTGGTTTTGCCGCCTGCTGCGCAAGCGCAAGGACCCGAGTTCGATCCCCAGTACCAAAAAAAAAGAAAAACAAAGTTAAATGCTCTCCACATAACTATGGGCTACAGACAAGAAGGATCAAAGAAGCCTCCATCGGCCTTCTCCTGTCTTTCTCTCTGAAGACACTTGTACAGTTTCATACCAAGGCCACCAGGACTTCATGGGGCTTTGAGGATGTGCAGGTGAAGCTGTTCCCCATCACTCCTGTAGCTTCTGGACATAGGGGCTGATGACCACCAGGGCATCCTGGTCTCCCTGGCTGCTCTGGGCCTTCCAGGAAGGCAGTGTTGGCAGAAAACTGAACTAATTTCAGCTCTTCCTCCCAGGCTGCTGTAGTGTGATCCTCAGGGAACACCTTCCTGATTCAGTGGAAAGTCTTGGGGCAAATAAGGAATATTAATGAAGAAATCAACAGGTCAGGGAGTACATGACTCATTGCTTTGTGCTCTCAAACACCACCACTAGAGAGCTTCTTTGGATGTACACAGATCACAGATTTGTGGAGCTCTCTCACCATGCCTCACAGAGTTACTGATGGATACATACATAACGGCCCCCGCCCCGGATCATTTCATCTTCTTTCCTGGATGCAGTTGCACCTAGGAAAGGAGAGGTGAATTGTCATTCAACCAATAAATATTTAGGGTTCCCACTAAATGTCGCATAGGAGGTTAATCCTGATAGCAATGAATGGAAGAGACATTCAGGCTTCCTCTCTTAAGACACTTCCAATCTAGCAGGAGAGCCAAACAGTAAAGAAACAATCCCATGGGTACACATGGAGTTAAAAGTCAGCAGTGTAAGCCGGAAGTATATAAGGAGAGACTGAGATCGGGGAAGTGAATTTAAGAGTATTGTAGGGGAGACTCCCTGAGATGTTCTGGGGAAAATGTACAAGATGCTGAGCCCTGTGGATGAGAAAAGCCAGGAGACTGCCTTCCCAGCATAGGATGCAGTGTGCACAGGAGGCTTCTGGTGATGTGTGGGAAACAGGGCCAACACGACTACAGTAGCATAAACACAAGGATGGCACGGTGGAGGAAGGGGCTGTGTTAAAGCACTTTCATTCAAGTGCAATAGAATGCCTTTGAGGAAATTGGAGCTGGTCCATCATATGGTTTGATGTATGCTTTTCAAAGATTGTCATGGCAGAGAGGAAGCCGGGAGGCCACCAACATCATTAGAATTAATTTGTACTTTTGGTTATATATTGGCTTGAACTGGAGAGGCAACAGCAGACACAGAGTAGAGCAGATAGTTTTCAGATGTCTTTTGAAGATATAATTGACAGTGGTTGGTCATGGACTGGATGTGGGGACTAGAGCAAAGGGGTCAGGATAAACGGGGATGAAATGGTGTGCTATTTACTGAAATGGGCAAATGAGGAGTGGATTTTGGAGGAAGATAAGTAGTTTGTTTTTTTAATGCCAGTGATACATCTAGAACAAAGGGAAATGAGTCTGGGGCTTAGGCGAGAAGTCTGGGATGGAGACAAATCTGCATCTCTAGCAAGTAGAAGATGTTTTCCTGGGAATGGAAGAGAGAGAGAAAGGATAAACTATGATGGGGCCAGGCCTTAAAGGAGACCAGAAAGGGAATGAAGAGGCATCAGGAGCCTACAAAGAACTGGCCAGGGAGTAAAGAGGAAAACAAGGAGGGTGTGTCAAGGAATGCAAGCTTCAAGAGGAAGAGTTGGCCACTGGGCTGAATGATCCCAAGAGAGCCATTAAGACAGAATGGAAAACTGAATGGAAATAGAATGGAAATAGACGCAATGGAAAAGTGTCCTCTAGAACAGTTCCCAACTGGCAGCAAGTTCTCCCCATACAATTTTGATGGCTACAACTTGGTGGTAGTGGGAGGTGCTCCTTCCTGTCATCTGCTGGGTAGAGGCTGGGACACTGATCAACATCCGGGAATGCACAGGACAGCCCTTGACAATGATTGTCTGGCCCCAGCTGTGACTAGTGCCAAGGCTGGGGAACACTGCTGTAGAGGAAGAGGTGGTCACCATTGAACGGATCCAGGGATCCAGCCGTCACGCTCAGAGCCACCCCTGCCTGTTCCGGGGACTTAGGGTAACTTCAGAGATGTGAAAGAAAAGGCCCACCTCGGGCTCAGTCCACACACTCTGTCACATGCTGCTTCCAGAGGATCCGTGGGCCAATGCCACAAGAGAATTCTTCCTCCAGAGACCTGCCAGTTATGTCACAGAGTGACAGCCATAATCAGGAGCCTGCAGTAAAATCGAAGGGAAAGAATGCGAGAGGACTCTCTTGTGGCCTCTACCCCACCATCATTTCAGTCCCAGAATCCCAGACTGCAGACGAAACTCACCGAAAAGGAAAGGGGTGTGTTTTCTTGTCTGATTCGGTTGTTGTGTCTATTGCAAACGTGCCAGGGACTGAGAATCAGAGAAGCAACCAGTTCAGATGGCAGACCTTTCCAAGGACATTTCTACTTGGCACACTGTAAATAATTAACACCCTCCTCTCCACCACAAGAGTTTCCTTCTAACATGAAATCTGACCTTGTCACTCTGCTTAAAATCCCTCATTAGGTCTCCTGTAGCATTCAGCTCAAACATGACTTCCCCTTCGTGAGCTTTTTCTGAGCACATTGCTCCCCTAGGCCACTCTCTGGTCTCTGTCTTCTAAGTCATGTAAGATCACACTAGCTCATGCTAGCTCATGATCATAGCATGAACTCCATGAAGACAAGAGCTCCATCTTCTTTATTCTTTTTTGTGTGTGTGTATGGTTGTATTGTTTTTGGTTCTTTTGAGACAAGGTTTCATTATGTAGTACAGGTCGGCCTTGAACTCACTGTGTAGCCCAATGTGGCCTCAGTCTCATGGGGATCCTCCTGTCTCAGCCTCCCAAGTGCTGGGACTACAGTCCTGCACCACCACGCCTGGCTACTTCTTCTTTATTCTTGTACCTCAGCACCTGCTACAGCACCAGCGCCAGGGCTGAGCAGGTGCTCACTCAACAGTTGTTGAATGACTGAATGAATGAAGGCCAGGGCTTTGTTCTTCCTCAAGCAGTAATAATTTCAGTGCACATTCTATCAAAGAAAATGAATTTCTTGCCATTAAGCTAGCAGCTGGGAATCAGAGTTCCTTTTGGTTTTTTCCTGCCTTTTTCCTGTCCGAGGCTTCCTGCCTTGTGAGCTGTTTCTTCTAATCTGTCCTTGTATGTTGACTGCGTCAGCATCTCGGATAGCAACACACTTTCTGTGCACAAAGCCAAATGTTGATTTTTTTTTTTTTTTTTTTGGTACCGGGGATCAAGCTCCAGACCTTGCACTTGCGAGGCAGGTGGTGGAACCACTGAGCTAAATCCCCGGCCCTGTTCCCAGATTTTTTGATGCTGATGAATCCAGACCAGGGCACTTTCCTCTGCCCAGTGACTGTCACACACACACTGCCACCCAGCCAAAGGAAGAACTAGAAGGCCTTTCTTCTCTCACTTCTCCCTGGAAATCTCCAAGCCACACAGCCAAGAAGGCCTCCCTCATTAAGATGGCCAGACCTGGGGATTTTCCACCAGCTATCCTCCACCTGACAGCCCTGGTGCCACAACTAACCAGGGCTTCTGAGGACACTTTGGGGACTCGGGATCAGCTGACCACCCAGCCAAACACTGCGTGTTTTCCTTTTGGCAGGGCTGTTTGGTCTTATCCAAATCAAGGGCCTGAGCTTCAGCTCCCAAGAGT